GGCCACCATCTTCAGCTGGGTGCTTGGCATCCTCATCTACGTCAACTACACGGCCAACCTCATCTCCTATCTAACCATCACCACGGTGGACAAGCCCATCAGCAGCCTCAAGGAGTTCTCAGAACAGTCCGGCTGGAAGTTCGCCTTGGAGCGCGGCATTGGCACCCTCAACGACTGGAAGGTCAGCAGCAGCCCGTACGAACGCGAGCTGTTCCGGCGCGTCTCACAAAGGGACGGCTACTTGGAGCTGGATGGCAGCGATGAAGCCTTTCGTAAGTCCATCGAGCCGAACGTGCTCGTCTTCATCGACGTGAAACGACTGTTCTTTACGCTTGGGGACGACGCGTGCAACACTGTCCCTCTGCTGGATCGGTTGCCGGCCAAGACCAACACATACATCGTGATGGCGAAGGGCAGAAAGCGAATGCACAGTGCCATCAACCAGGTGATGCGCGTGATGAACCAGGCGGGGACGATCTCCCGGCTGAAGGCCCGGTGGCTGCCAGGGGGCCAGGACATGTGCGCTGCGCCCGGTGGCTTCAAGGAGCTCTCTCTGGGAGATGTGCTGGCAGTGCTCGTCCTGGTCCCCCTGGGCATCATCTGCAGCGTGGGCCTCTCCATGCTGGAGTGGCTCTGGGCCAAGTGCCAGTGAAATTCCCAGCTCTGGCAACAATAGCCGTTTTCACGACGGGCTATCCGGCAAGTGCACCTGATATGACCAAATCTGCACCTAATCTCTTTTACAGCAAATATCTTCATTTTATGAATTAATTTCAGGGTTTTAGTCGATGATGCTCTATGATAATACGACAAAGCAGGCATATAAGCAAAACGGCTAATATCCGACCGTATGATCGGAAGACCGAAAGCAAGGCGCCAACATGGGGCATGTAGGGCGAGCGAGACACGACGTTAACTATACAATTTTCATGTAAAGCACGGCTAGGTATATTGCAGAATAATAGGGGAAAGTGGGGTAAGACGGTCAGGGTAGGTAAAACGGGCACCCCTTCTGCAGACCAAACCAATAGCGCTACGAGCGAGAAAAATTAGGACCAGCATTGCCTTTCCAACCACACCACCATTGAAGGATGGTGAATTTGTGTTCAGTCAATAATCTTTTATTTTGATTTCTTTAAAACACTCATTTCATTGAAACATTTATATATTGTGCAAGCTTTTGTGTGCAGCACTATTAGAGCTAAAAACTCGCAATCACTTGTGGTACACACATATGCCACCAGTGTTCATTTACCGTGGACTTGCTTTGTCTGCATGATCAAATTGTCCACAGAAAAATCGTGCTGAACTTCTGACATTGAGTTTGGGGTAAGACGGGCAACTATGGATCCAATGGGTCTGTAATGGTGAAAATATTTCTGTTGTTGTATAGGAAAAAAGAAGCATTTCTGTTAAGAATGTGTTCGATTCCGATACTCACAGACATATTAGCAATATTCCTTCGGCACAGTTTATTCTCGAATAATGAATGTGAAAAACGGCTCTACAAGTCTTCTGAACTAGGGCCTATAGGTATACGAGCATACGCCTTCTGCACGAATTTCGTCTATGTACTGCCTCTTCCGAAGCACTTGAGACCAACGAGCGACTGTATCAATGCGGCTAATCTCGGGCATTTGTTGCGAGCTGCGCTGGTCGGTGAAAGAAGCTGGCCGTCTTGCCCTTCCCATGTGACCGTCTTTCTTACCCCATGGGGTGGGGTATGACGGGTTTTTGCAAGGTTTTGCAAAAATAGCTGTAGTTTATTTGTTGGATCAGCTCTAAGTCTCATCTTCTGGCAAATGGAAGTAAGATGTCTAAAAAAGGTTTTCACTCAGTTTCCCGTTTCTGTGATATTTATATAACCGGCCGAAAAATGGTTCCAAAGTTAAAGTGCCCGTCTTACCCCACTTTCCCCTACCAATAATCGTGATATTTACTAACATAAGTGGTAAAACCAATTCGTAAGAAGAATGACAGTTATTACGAAAAAAAAATAGGAAAAGCCGTTTATTTGGGTAATTTTCGCCATCTGTGGGTCAAACCGTAGGCAGTGGCGGATCCAGAGGGGGGGGAGCATGGGGGCCATGGCCCCCCATTGGGCCTCCCGGGGGGCACCATCACGCAGAGGCGGATCCAGCTCAGAGGTTTGGGGGGGGGGGGCAAACCATAAAAATTTATCGATTCTTTCCATGCATCGTCCATAGGCGTAATGTTAAAATCATGCCGTTTGGGGGGGGCAAATGCCCATTTTGCCCCCCCCCTGGATCCGCCACTGCCATCACGGAATGTTTTTTTTTAATTCATCACGGAGGTCACTGATGGGAGCTTCAACCCAGAGTTCTTCTAAGGGGGCACCATCCAGAAGATCTATTGGAATAGGGTACCGTTTTCGGGGTCTCCCGGAGCCGGAGGCCCATTTCTGTCCCTCACCTCGGGTGGGGCTATTTCCATCCCGAGGTCCGCGGGGGCACCATCTCGAGTTCTCCGAGGGCACTATCCCGAGTTCTACGTGGGCACCATCCCAAGGTCGGAGGGGGCACCATCTCGAGGGTTCGGGGGCACTATCCTGAGGTCTCCGGGCGCACCATGGCGAGGTTTGGGGCACCATCCCGAAGTCTCCGGGGTACCATCCCGAAATCTGTCTCCGGGGGCACCATTCCGAGGTCTCCGGGGGCACCATTCCAAGTTTCCAGGGGCACCATTCCGAAATCTGAGGTCTGAAGGAGCACTCTCCCCGGGTCTGAGGGGGCACCATCCCGAGGTCTCAGGGACACCATCCCCCTGAGTAAGTGCCGAAATCCATGGATTTTTTTTAGGGGGGACCAAATGCCAGAGGGCACCACAATGCCGTATGCCCCCCCCCCCCCTAACGAAATCATGGATCCGCCACTGACCGCGGCGTAATCAAACCTGATGGGATGCTATCAAAACTCAAAAGAGATTCGGAAAAGCTATCGAGTGCGCTTAGGTGACGCCCTCGCCTCTTTTGGTTGACGAGTTATGGGAACTGTGATTTGGAATACAAAATGTCAGCTTCGGGATTCAAAAGGGATAATTTTACGTTTAGTGACCTCCGGTGACTTCAGCGATGACCTGATCGAAAATTACTTGCATAATTATTAACCCTCGCCGGCACAGGGCGGGGTTTGGAGCACCATCCCGAAGTCTCCGGGGTACCATCCCGAAATCTCGTCTCCGGGGGCACCATTCCGAGGTCTCCGTGGGCACCACGGGGGGGGGGGGGGTGATGATCACCCCCTAAGATTTTTTCGCGAATAACTCGCGTAAAAAGCGGCCGATCGCGACGAAACTTTCAGTACCCTCGCGTTGATCAATTTTACACCTTCTCTTAAATTTTCACGACCCTGACCCAAATGACCTTTGGCGTGTGACCTACTTTCCGAGACCATGTTTGGCCGGAATCGCGATTCGGCGTATGTCGGCTCGTATTAGCCGCGCGTTAGCAATCTTTTCGTGGTTTCAAACGCTCATACATGTGAGTTGATGTTAGTCCCATGCATTAGGGTGGACGTCAAGGTCACCTGAGGGTCAGGTCAGGTCATTGACCTTTGATGACCTCGGCTCACTTTTTCGAGTTTTACATGTTGATGTTTCTATATAGGCTAGTTTTGGAGCTGAATTCGAATTTAGTAACCATTTGAACGTTCACGAAGTAGGTTTGGTGCCTTCGTAACATGTTACGAAGCTGTTAGAGGCGGTTGACATATAGTACGAATACCCGTCACGACCCCTACTGGTTGACCTGACCTGACCTGACCCGACATGACGTCATCATGTATGCTCATTTTTGAAGACATAATGTTCATGTATTTACCGAAAACAATTGAAATCGATCATTTTTACGGTAAGAAATTCTTAGAGAGACGCTGAAGTTACCAAAACTTACGTAAGAGCTTCGATAATGCACTTAGAGCCAAACGTTATGATTCGTTCTCTCGTCCCAATCAAAATTTCGCGGAAAAAAACGAGCTACCTATTGCCCGACGAGAGAAAGCTGATGACACCAAATCTCAAAGTCCTTGGTCATTGGGGGGACTTTTCAGGTCAGATCGATGACCCAAAAGCCGTGAATCTTGGGGCCTGCTACAACTTCTTAAATAGAGGTTGCTCCTTTGTGTGCTTTAAATTTGTGGCATTAAACATTGCAATAAGGAGGAGAGATTAAGACATAGGTATTAGGTACATGACCACGGAAGATTATTGACTCTTTCAAAAAGAGGGAGCTGGGTGTGTCGTAGAAGAAAGCGTTGAATGCAGCCCTATGGACCGATTCATGCTGCATATGAAATTGCGAAAAATGGAAGCATTTCCGACTTTTATTAGTCTACTTTGTTGACAGCAAGATCACTGAAAACATTTTTATAACACCACCCCCGAGAGTAATGTTTGATTGATCACAATACATCTTATCGGCTATTCATGGCGCTTACAAAGCTATATTTTGTAATCGATGACAAGTCAAAATGATCACAAGAATAGTGCTGAAAACCAACCGACACTGTACAATTAAAGCATACTACCAACGTCTACTTAAATGCAACATTACTTTGTTTACGTTCTACACACGTCAGAAAAATATGTTGCTAAAAACAACCCATGAATGCCGAAATTAAACATATTTATTAAACATTTTTGTTCCGTGATTTACCAGTGATGCTGGATTTGATCGCTATTAAAAGTAGCCTACCGTACACATCATGTAGGTATCGCTATAGTCCCCAAATACCTATCGAACTTTTGGAGAAAATCAATAAAACATCCATCTTCATGTGTCTTTCAAAGCTAGTTAGCTTAGGGCAATGAGTCATGGTATTCAGTTGGGTGTGAGAACACGGCACATAACTTAGAAAGAAGCTATTCGCAGTCTATGCTCGTTATCTACGAATTAAAATTTGATCAGATATTTCAAAACTTATGCAGTAAGCACGCAGAACAAGTCGGTGGTATTATCAGAAAGTTGGAGCACATAATCTAGATTGCCAACTGAACTCTATTCTAATTTCTATTCAGGACAATGCATTCAATAGACACTCGCTACGTACAAACAGCACATCATATGGACGAAATGTCGCATCCAAACCAGACCGATTACATTAAACACGATAATACATCACCTTCATCCAGGAGGCCAATCCTGAGAGAGCATCAGACGCAACACCTGTAGATATAGAAAGAGCAGGGCGGACTAGCAAATACGTGGTATGTAGACACAGCAAAGCACGCTCTCTCGGCGTTCGAGCGACATGGAAGCTCAGGTCTCCGGCGAATCAAAACACCGACACCACCACACACGCGCGCACGTAAACGCAGCCACAATGGCGCAGGCGCTGCACCAATGTATCGTGCTCAGCAGTCAGCACGGTGTGTTCGGTTCGAGCTTAGTCAGCGTGACCTGTCCCGATCGGTGTGAGGTCTTACGGCTGACGTCCTTCAGGATTTTGGCAGAACTTCAGCTCGTGACGCCTTCTGCAGTGCTGCAATCCACCTGCGGGAACATGTACGGGTACAGAATGACCAATTGCAGCAGGCGGGCGCCGGCACAGTGGTTCCGATGTGGAGGGTAATTGACATTGACAGCTTGGGTCCGTTCAACTGTTCAAGGTTGAACGAGCATTGTGCATAGGTTTCCTACGAACAAAAGGGACAAAACAAGATTAAGATAAAAAGATAACGCGTTGCAGTTCTCACCTGGCCAAATCCTCCTTGTTGTCAGTAAGAAAGGTGTAGCTCCGTTTTCCGAGCGTTAGTCGGAAGGCGCGATCCTTCTCCTTCTCGGCCACGCCCAGGTCGGCTCGCCCTGACCCGGCCCAGGTCACCGTGAAGCCCGGCACGGGGCTGGCGGCCAGCGCCGTCACCGCGTCCTCCGAACTGTACATGTAGAGCGCGCAGTTGGCGCGCAAACAGAACCAGCGGCGCACCCAGGCGCGCCGACAGCGCAGCTGCAGCTCGCCGCTGAGCAGACTCGGCTCCGAGGCTGCCACCTGGCGGAGACACGGGGAAGCTGAGGTGTCAACAGCAGATGGAGGCACGGGACATGTGAATGCCTGGCGACGGATAATAAACGAATGCGTGAGCTGAGCATTTACCGTGCATTCTTTTAAAACTGTCAAATTTACAATACATAGCAACATTGCAACATAATAACAGTCATAAAACTCACGTGGAGTGCGCCCTTTCCTCGCCGGTAGGTGGCGTCTAGCACACTTCCCCGTCGGCCGCCAGGGGCGCTGCCGTCGCTCCTCTGCGCAGTCAGCTGACGGTGGCAGTGATCGCAGACTCGAGACGGCCGACCTCCTTCATAGGCCAGGGGAGCCTTGTTGCCCGAGCACTTTGAGCACACCACCTGGCGGCGATGAACAGGGTCACCACAGGTCTGGTAAGCGAGGGTGACACGATGCTTAGCGGGCTTCATTTATATACGGTGCCATAGACCTCTGTACACACCGACTGTGCAGAGGTCTAGAGGTGTGCAGAGGCCTATGACGGTACCTCATCTAGGACGCATAATTTATCATGTAGATTATGTAGGAGCTTGTTCTCACATCAGCCAGTGAGCAGACTCGTGCCTCTCTCACTCCTTACAACTCACCTCCCCGCACGCTCGGCAGTTGTGTTTGCGCCTCATCACGGAGAAGGGAGCGTCACAGACGGCGCAGCGACTGGCCTGTTCAGCGCTGACGAGCTGTGGGGCCGTCTGTCCCACCTGGCTGGGGTCGGGGGCCGAGTCCGGTCCCTTCAGCGAGGAGCGGCGCTCATAGTATGCGCTCACCACGCGAGAGAGGGCCTCCAGCCACTCTGCCTTCTCCTCAGCAGTCCTGGGGAAGAGTGGAGGGCAGTGGTCAGTATGTAGAGAAAGAGTGGGATATGAGGGAGCTGGCAGCCGCTCTGTCCTCTCCGAGTAAAAGGGAGAGAGAGAGAGAGAGAGAGAGAGAGAGAGAGAGAGAGAGAGAGAGAGAGAGAGAGAGAGAGAGAGAGAGAGAGAGAGAGAGAGAGAGAGAGAGAGAGAGAGAGAGAGAGAGAGATCAGCTGACCCTTAGCATGTGCCTTTCACTTGCCTCTTTCTTCGACTTTCTCCATGTAACTACCAAGATAATGACGAATAGAGTGAACAGTTTTGATATTTCGCGCGCGGGCTGAATCGCCCATGCCGTTAGATCGGGCACGAATGCTTACGCTCCAATCGGCGGTCCTGGGAGCCAAACTAAACATCGGAGACAACCGTTCCCGGAAGAGTCTCGCCCCCAACTCGGTGTCATGGACGACCTTTGCACGTGAATCGTGACCACTGGGCAGTGAAAGACGGTCTTTGCAAGGGTGCACAGCCACAGATAAGATGTAGTTATGACCTAATAATGCCATGCTAATAGATGTGCCTTGCAGCTATCATGTGTGTGATCAGAACAACGAATAGCGTAATCAACGTCTATTGAGAACACTGATGCCGCTTAAAATTATAAATGAGAAATACATAGGTCCCTGTAATCGGTCCACACATACAGACACCTGTGCTTCACATAATTCATCTCTGGGTCACCCAAACGGGCAAGGCAAATCAGTCTGGGCGCACGTTTAGTACTAGCCGTTCGTAGTTAGCCTATATGTAATGTAGTTACTCCTCACTTTTAGGTCTGCGTGCCATAATGCAGCCCACAACTCCCGTCAGCTCATTCCGTCATGCTGTGTGGCACAAAGACGAGTCATGTAACAAGACCATTATATCTGTGAACGACATGACGCACGGTCTATTCAGTATCCGACCGGACGTCAATGCCGCTACTGTCGCTACTCGCTGACGTGTGTGTCAGTGTGTGTGTGGGGGGGGGGGGAGGAGGAGGAGGTTGGGGGAGTGTCCCGGCCAGATCCAAGGCCACCCGCCGGACCGACGCGTGCCCCAGCGAAGCGGTTGGGTCGGTTGAGTGTTGCGGTAGCTCGCGGTCACGCAGACACATCATTAACCATACTGTCCGATGTTGATTGTGATACCGAGAATAAATGACCTGCTCGGCGCGGGCTGGGTAGAGTCGAGATCTGAGGGTCGCCGACGCACCAGAGCAGACTGCGGCCCGCGCGAGGAATGGCTGACACGCCTGACAACCTGACACAACAGTGTCATTACAGATGTACCGGGGCCAGTCACAATCAACGACAGCATGAGCTTCACACGCCGAGCGGACGGTGAAGAATTGATGACCCATCCGTGTGTTGATCGCCTCACGCCTATGCACACGAGGTTAGCAACGATGTTCCGGACCTGTTATCGGCGGCACGTGTAATGTATGGTGACGTTGCATTAGGTAAATAGCTTATCAATCCCAGGGAGGCGTGCGACCGTACCTATTTACCGTGGAGGCATTAGTCACTTGAGAAAGGATGCAGTCTATTCCACGGGCTATCTATCGACATGCCCCGTGTCCATTGAAAATCTGACTTGGAACCTGGCATGAACAAAAGGATCGACAACACTGGACCAAACAGTGGTTTGAATACCAACCTCAGACGTGATCTGACCGGACCCTGGCCTGGCCACGACATCTAAGCAAGTCGTGATGAGACCAACGAATCAAATAATGACTTGCTGACCACGGGTCACGTGACTTGAAGTTTGCTGGCCAACGATGACAGACGAATGACCAAGAAAAACCTGACAAGTCACCGGTCCGTATGACCACTGACCGGTAACCGGATTATTCAGTTATACGGATGATGTTATAACTGTACTGTCTCCCATACACGTCTTTACTCTGCACGGCACAGAAATACAGGCCAGACAAACCCGTCTCGTGCCGTCCCCATCCCGGTCACTGCGGACCCAACGCCACCACTTCCCTCCGTCCTGTTCGGGTGGCTGTCACTGTGTGGTCTCCGAACCACGTACCCAACGCCTCCACTTCTCTTCCTCTCCCGTCAGGGTGGCCGTCACTGTGTGGTCTCCGACCTGATCCCACCGAGGTCACGGGCCGACTAGCTCCGGCACGGGCCGTGTCCAACCGACTCCGGGACACGGTACGGCCGCAGCGGCTGCCGGCGCGGTGACCGCTACTGCCTTATTTGGAAGAGGGACAGCGGTGCCGCAGCGTTACGCCGTGACCGTAGCACGGCGAGGTGAATTCGGCCAGGTATTGGCTCAGCTGGTAAGGCCATGCGGGGAAGGCCAGCCAGGTCAGGAGGGCACACAAAGGGTGATGTCACAGAACGTGTTGACACGAGCCGCGGTGGAGTCAGGGACGTGTTCTGTGTGCTGCGGTTTCAGGAAAAAGTGAACGTTTTAGGTCGCAGTTCCGTGCGTACGGGCAATCAAGCCAAATCGTGTGTTTTGCCTAGTTTATGCTACGAAGGCGGCCTACAGCTAGTCGTCGATTTGTGGTCAACTGAGGTCGACGTGGCCCACCTGGTCTATGAGTCACACGTTCCTCGAGTTTGTTTCCAAAGGTCAATCGTTACATCCTATATCTAGCTCCGTTCGTTTACCAAACACATTCCTAGCGGAGACACTGGCAGCGAGAAAGGTCTGGACAGCGGCCAGACAAGTGCCTCTTCTCCCTGAGCTGGGGTGGGATAGAGCAGCCGCCTGACAGAGCGACCGCCACCGACCACCGACGGGAGGGAGGGGGAGGGAAGCCCCGCTCCGTCAGCAGAATCTAACACCATGACAAGAGCGGTGACATGGGAGAGGGAGGGGGAGAGGAGAAACTGATGAACCCGACGACGTCAGAGATCACATGGCAGTCTCGGAAAGTTACCAGCTAATCATGAGACCAGCCGGCTATAAATAGCATTTGTTATTGATGATGTCTCGAGTTAGCAGCTATTTGAGTCGCGATAATGTGAAACGCCCAGACTGCCTCATTAGCCAGTGGTTGAAGCGCATAACGATGGTGCATTAGGCTGACCTGATAGCATCACTCTGCATAACCCATGGTTAGATATGTTGTGATAAAACGGCGCGTAATGCGCCTCGACCTCAATAAATTTACCGTTTGCATTGTTAAGCAACATTAAATGGGCTGATAACGCGCTTGATGATCAACCGATACACCACTCCCTTTATTTCTCTAGGACTAGTTACGCAATATACGCACTCACTGCATGCTGCGTTCTCCTCAATAAGCGCAGGGGTCCACGCTGTCACTCACTGTGTGTAGAGCTCGACGTTCTTGTTGCTGCCGCTGATGTAGAACGTGTTGAGCGTCTCCAGGTTGTCCCCCTCGAGCACCTGCAGACCCTCGACGCTGAACTTGGCCCGTAGACGGAACGCCGGCCCAGAGATGATGCGTTTGTTGATGAGCCGAGCGGAGCAGAGCAGAAGCAGGTCCGAAAACTGGGGACACGTAGACAGACAGAGAAGTTAGACTGGGCATCGCCGAAAGCCAAAATCAGCTGGATCAGCTAGAAAGGAATTTAAAAGGGCAGCTCCAAGGAGTCGGACGGCAGGTCAGGTGGATAGCACCTGTCATACGAGCAGGAAGGGATTAACACACAAAGATATCAGGCTGCTGTCATCAACACAGATTGACAGCCACGGCAACCGGCAGTGATGACACCCGTCATTTAACGTCAGTAACAGGGCTCCTCCTGTCTGACTCCACCCTGAAGACCGCTAGGCAGAGGTCCCCGCCCTGCCGGCCCACTCCGCGGCTGCACGACATCGGACCGTTTCACGGGGGACGGAACCGACCGACCCCACCGCGCTGGTATAGTCCGTGGGTCGGGACCGGCCCCACTGGCACAGTTCGTGGGCTGGACGACAGACAGACTGGTCACTGAACCCATCAGCACGTCATGGATGCCCCATATGGACCAATGGCGGTCGTTAACCGGGACGAAAAACGCGCCAGCTGTCCCGCAATGGTGTGGAGCTATCGGTCAGAGTAACGCGATATCCGCATGCATCGGTATAAAAACGGTGGCGCAGAAGAAATGTGAGGCGGTGTGTGTCAGGCAACACGGACACACTAACTGTCACATTGTCGCTTTTCTACGATGCTACAAAATTCTGCCTCTTACGCACCGCATCGACTCTCCAACGAAACTACCACACAGCACACTCGCTGATTACATCCCAGGCCACAAAGCGCCTCTCCACCGCAGTGTGTTGACCCGGCATTCCTGCAGCCCGGCACAGCCCTGCAGCATCGAACGCATTAGCATATTCCGACCATCCCAGTTCCGGTACGGTGTGCTATACACCGCGATTACGTAGTCGGGCTGTGTATGAGGGAGTGTTGTGACGTAGTGTGTGGCCTCCAGCGACCGGATCTTACCAGGAGCACGTACTAGAAGCGCACCGCTCCTGATAGTCTTACTATGAACAGGTAGTAAGATACGCATCGCTCCAGATTATCTTACCAGGAATAGGTAGCGCTCCTGATGGTCGCCGCTTCGTGCAGAAATCTTGCAGATTTTGCCCTCCTTCAGGAGTTCGCGGGTTGGCGACACGAGGTCAGGCCCGCCACTGATGTTCTCCTGGATCTCCAGCAGCTGCTTGAACTTGTCGACCCGCTTCATGGTATCGTTACTGTGTCTCGCAGCCTGGGTGACCAGCTCCAGTGCCTCTGCAACCGAACGACGGAAACAGTTAATGATTATTACACATTCCACTGGCTCCAACAAAACTATGAAAGTGAAAATAAGCTACGGAAACAACAAGTTACCACCATCCTCCACAAACGCTTTTCAGCCAGCTTCCTGAATTTTTCCGAGTTTTCCGTAGCAATTACGGCCGTAATAACCACAAGTCCCCACGGTGCGGCGCTTCACGAAGCACTTACAAACAGACCACGGCCAAAGTCACGAAGACCTTCAGTTTGGGCACCCGAGGTTCCGGAAGCTGACCAGTGAGTCCGGGGCCGTGCCACGGAAGTCAGTATTTCCCACGGAGCCCTGCAGACCTCGAGCAGGTAGCCAGAGGGTCAGGAAGTTTGGTGACCGCAGTGGTAGCGATAATTGGGGTATGGAACGGCGGCGTGAGGCCGGTGCGAACCGAGCATGTGGAGCAGGTGGTGGACCAGAGGTGGACGAGGGCGTGGTGGAGCCAGGAAGTGGACGGTGGCGGGGTGTAGGAAGTATACGTGAAGGAGGTGGTAAACTGGCAATGGCCTGAGCGAATTTTAGGATAAATAATGCACTTAGATTTGCTTAAAGGTAGTGTGCCACCTTTGAAAGATTTCCCATTTTATTTTTCCTAGGATAAGAAGCTTCTGTTTTTACATAATATCGCAAAAAAAAATCAAAAATGGGCCTGGAATAGTGCCTTTTTCGCCTAAAAGTTTTTCGGTTTTTAGATATGTATAACAACTGTGGTGGGCTCACCTGCAAACAGGCGTCGGGCAACAATCGCGAATGCGGCGCACTTGTGACAATAAGCAAAGGTCATTATAGTGTTACGACCATACGACGTACGGGAATGAGTTATCAGCTGTCTAATCGTAGACAACACAATGTCGAGCCTTAAACTGTAAGCCCGTATTGGTATTGTTTCTTTTATTTGGCTGTCGAACATTATTTATGGTTTGAAATATGATTTTATGTAAAATAATTGATATGAAAAAGCCGTCTTATAAGTTATGACCCCATTTCACCACACGCAAGTGGCAGAAATGACAATGATCAGCTGACGCATTTTTCTTGGCCGAAGTCAGAGCGCGCGGCCCGACGCACCACGCGTATTTGGAAATTCCGACCTCGACGAGCATCAGAAGCCACCTAACAGGCGTGTTCGAAACCGCAGGAGATGATGATGAACGGGTTTATCGAAACTTGATTGGATGAGCATATCGGTAATAGCGATTTCAGTGTGTGCATTTATTGTTCATAGTGGTGTGAAATGTGGTTGGGGTACGACCGACAACCCGTCGGGGCGAATTTCGCACTGGGGTACTCAAAATTTGAAGAATTTAAGACGTTTCCATGAGTTTTGAAGGTATGGATAAGTTCTAAAAATCCGGTTCTCCTTATCTGGGCCATTAACTCCATACGGTCCAAGAAAGCTGGCACACTACCTTTAAAATGATGCCAATGCAACAGAGCTGACGCCATAACGCGTGTTTACATGGATGGCGATTATAAGCGCAGCGTAAACAATCGGCAGCAAGGAGAATGTAGTAAGCGGCAAATTAATAGAGGACGTTTAAATGACCCAACAAGGTGGCACGGTAAATTTAAGGAGAACGTTTAAATGATATTATAAGGTGGCACGATAAATAGGTATAAAGAGAACGTTTAACTGACTCGCAAAGGTGGCAAATTTAGAAAATGTTTAACTGACTCGCAGAGATGGCTCATGCTCATTGTCAAGCCGTTCACACTATAGGGTCACATCATGCCGCTTCTCAGCCGGTGAACAGCTTGTATACGTATACGAGAAGCGAGGGGAGGATATACTGCTATACAGCTCACGGTCCCCAGGATCATATCACACCTTGGACAATCAGCATGCGCCCGTGGAGTGACAGATCAGGTCGGCGGCCCGACAAATGTGCCGAGCACGTTACCGAAAATGACAGAAAGGTGACGGATACGTGACAGATGAAAGCTGTATAGGAAGCAGCGGTTGCCATAGTAACCACTGCACTGTGCTCGAAATCGTACATGTTGGTGGCTAAGTGCGAGTCGTGAGAATATGCCGTTATAAAACCGCATCATTGCCATAGGCTCGCACCTGATACCGATTTCCTTGGAATCCCAGTACATGAGCGATAGCAGGCTTGTAACGATAAGGACAGTTTGATGGTGATGTCATTGGGTAAGTGCCCTATAACACCAAAGATTCTCCACCTTTAAGCTGCATATCCGCTCCGCACCTTACCGTCGTGTTCATCGCTTATAAGACACACAGGTAGGTTCAGTACTCAGCAATTCACCCTGACTGCTCCATCTCACCTCTAACCATGTCTCTCCCTTACTCTTCTCCCTCCCTCCCTCCCTCCCTCTCTCTCTCTCTCTCTCTCTCTCTCTCTCCCCTCCCTGCCTCCTCCCTTCCCTCTCCCTCCCCCTCTCCCTCTCCTTCTCCCTCCCTCTCCTCCATCTCCTCCCTCTCTCTCTCTTTCTCTCTCTCTCTCTCTCTCTCTCTCTCTCTCTCTCTCTCTCTCTCTCTCTCTCTCTCTCTCTCTCTTCCTCCCTCCCTCCCCTCCCCTCCCCTCCTCTCCTCTCCTCTCCTCTCTCTCCCCTCCCTCCCCTCTCCCTCTCCCTCTCCCTCTCCCCCTCCCCCTCTCCCTCTCCGTCTTCCTCTCCCTCTACTCACGCTCAGCGTCGGCGCGGTCGGGTGAGTCGGCGGCCAGCTTCTGCAGGTAGTCCTTGAGCAGCAGCTCGTAGCGAGGCACCCTCTGCACCGGCACGATGACGTGGTGCTGCAGCGGCAGGTTCACACACTCGTCCATCTCCTGAACATCAGACAGAGGACAGAGGTCACATCACTCGTCCATCTCCTGAACATCAGGGGACAGAGGTCGCAATCGAACTGGCATAAACGAGCATGGTGAATGGAATAATACCGACAAGTATTGATGGACATTGAACAGCTGAACGGTTACCGGCACTTGGAGCAGCAATATGTGCACTGTATTATTGTGGGGAAGGTTCATTGTGTACCTTTATTACTAAGGAATACAAAAATACGCACATTTTAAACAATATAATAATAGCCGCTATGACATAGAGATCGCATGAAGGCCAATATATGGCGACATGGATGATGGCTAGGGGACATCCGAGCATCTGAGCATCCGAGACATAAGCTCATAAGTGATGCGAGCTTATCTTTGTATGTCATTTTTCGTTAGTCGGCAAGTCTTAGCGACAAGCGGCACATCCGGCGTCACCGACAAACGCATCTCGGGTGCTCTAAAAGCTATCGCAGCTGGGGCATTCCACGATAGATCGTACCACTTTTTTCCAATTTGACACCCTCATCTCTCGGAATTTGACGAGAATTGGTCTCAGGGGTAATCAGGGGCTCTGAATCCACCTGTAACAATTTCAGGCTTATCAGATAAGTATTTTTTGAGTTATGGTGTATAACATTTTTTGGATCTTGCTTTGCAGCGCTAAGTTTGGCGGGCTGTAACTCTAAGACGGATTATTCAAATGCCAAATACTACATAACATTGAACTTGCAATGAAACAGAGATTAATATGTATTTTTGAAATTTCGAAAAATACGCTATTTTTGATATATGACATATCGAGTTTTCTTTCATTTGTATTTTTTGGACTTTGGGACCAAATTTTTTTGAATTTTTATTTCTTTAAAAAATATTTGGCTCATTGTTAAGAAGTATGCGAAAAATTAGGAAGGTGTTCTTTCTATAAATGTATTTATTTTACGTCACGATAACGGTTTCGAATAGTGATTTCGGGAGGGAGCTTACAAATGGCGTGGTAAAGCTGCCTAGTGACATCACGGGTTACTGAAATTTCAATTCAAGTCTGAGTCATCTGAAAAAAAAAGTGAAAAGAGGGTTCATTCAACCCTCTTTCCTATAAGCGCGAGGGTGAAAAAGGCTGTTTGGTTCCTGACATTGTTTTGGACGCCAATGACCATAGCTGTCCGAGATGAAAGTTACAGGACGCATACATGGTGTCCTCCAGAGGTCTCACAACTTGTATGTCCATAGGCGGCGGAACGATTTGAGACAAGGGGGGGCACCATGGCTCAAGGAGCCAAGCCTAGGGTACCCCCAAATCCTGTTTTCTCATCGGATTTAGGCCACTTATTTTTCGTCACAGCCCTGACACGATGAATTTTTTTATTTTATTTTTTTTTTACTAAACGAAAATGGCAGTTCACCCCCGTATGCAGGGGTGTACCTAAGTTTATATCTCTTTGTGGGGGCATATGCACCCACAATCCTGAATTATGCCCCCACAATGATGAAAAAGCACCCACAAGTCTTTTACAAGGCTGCAAGCGTCCTTTCGAGAGCACGGTGCCCTTCGCATGCTCTAACGGCGTCCTCCTGACCGTCTCGCGTTCATGGATAGCGTTTTTAATCACTCGGCGCCCTTCTGGGAGAATGGCGCACTTTTGACAGCACCGCGCCATTCTCATGGTCTAACGGCGCACTCCTGACCGTCTCGCGTCCTTAGGTCTCTGTTCACCGTGCATCCCTCGACTATTCGGCGCCCTTCTGGCCTCTCAGCGCCCCTGAACCACATATAGCGTTTTCAATCATTCGGCACCCTTTTACGAGAATGGCGCCCTTTTCATGATCTCAAGGCGCCCTCGTAACCATCTGGCGCCCCCACGTCCCCACCAACGTAGCACTACTGACTGTGCGGCGCCCTTCTGGCCTCTTAGCGCCCCTGGACCACATAGCGTTTTCAATCACTCGGCGCCCTCCTAAGAGAATGGCGCCCTTTTCATCGTCTCACGGCGCCCTCGTAAGTCGTAACCGTCTGGCGCCTCCACATTTGGTGCCCCTCCTACTGGATGGCGCCTCTCTACATATTGTTTACGTCCTTCCGGTCAGTTTCCACTTTTAAGCGTGTATTTGCTTAGTCAGACACGTCACTTGAAGCGCCATTCGGCTAGCAATGTTATCAAATTCGGTGTTGATTTAGGCTCCCACATAAAGAATATCTATCGCGCCCCAAAACGGCCTGGCGCCGGGCGCCCCTACAGCTGGGCACCCACAATCATTTTAGGAAAATTACACCCCTGCCCGTATGTGTGGTTAACTTTAAGCTGATCCTCAAGTACCTATGTGTTTGTCTCTTCCTTATTGTCGTTTGATAAATTCCATTTATCCTACATGTATAATTCCCAAGAAGCCATCGCAATACTAATCAGTGGCGAATCCCAGGGTGGAGGTCACATGGGTCATGACTTAGGGCCTGGGGTCACCACATGCCTGCCAGGAGCACCACAGGCCTGACAGCCGACAGGGGCACCACAGGCCCGCCAGGGGTGCCAAAGGCCTAGCAGGGGCACCACGGGCCTGTCAGTGGCACCACAGGCCTGTCAGTAGCACCATCGGTCTAGCAAAAGCACTACAGGTCTTCCAGGGGCAGCACAGACCTGCCAGGGGCACCAGAGGCCTGTCAGGGACACTATCGGCTTCGCAGGGGAACCACCGGCTTCGCAAGGGCACCATGGGCCTGTCAAGGGCACCACAAGCCTGTCGTTGGCAATTTAAGATTGTCAGAGGCACCACAAACCTGTCAAGGGCACCTGCGTTCTAACAGGGGCACCACAAACCTGCCAAGGCCCAGGGACACCACAGGCCTAAGCAAGGACACCACAGGCCTGTCAGGGGCACACGGGCCTGTCAGGGCCCATGGGCACCTAAGTCATGTCAGGGCCCACCGTAGGCTTGTCGGGGGGGCAGGGTAGGTAGGTAGCACAGCCTTCCAGGGGCACCAGCGGCTTAGCAGGGGCACCAGTCATCACATGACTAACCAAAAATAAAGAAAAAAACTGAAAATAGGGCACCACCAAAATTAAATGGCCGAAATCCGTTGAGGTTTTAATTTTGGGCATAGGTAGGGGCACCACTTCGATTCATGACCCTCCCCTTGAAGTTTTCCCGAATCCGCCCCTGGTACTAATACATCAAATTTAAGGGGGGGGCACCTTGCTATTGGTGCCCCCCTTGCAGAATTCAAGGGGGGGGCACGGTGCCCCGGTGCCCCCCCCGTTCCGCCGCCTATGTGTATGTCTGGGAATTTTTCAAGGTTACATGAGGTCAGGTCGGTCACGTGACATCACTGTTATAAATCAATGGGGAAATATAAAAACTGTTATTTTGGCGCCGAGAATGATCTAAAACTATCCCACGTGCATGGTATTGTGATTTCATGCACTCCTTGCAAAGTCCAATGCTTTACTTTTGCATTGTTAACCTTGCGTGACGTCATTTATGACGTTACTAGGGTCGTACGAGTTTTTCGTCAATAACTCCCGATAAAATAGAGCTAGAGAGTCGGGAAAGCCACCAATGGACTCGGGAAGACCTTCCGAATCGAATGATATGCCATATGATACCCTTTGCCCAGCTTCGTGACCTGAGGGGCTCTGACCTGACCTTGACCCGAGGTCAACTACTTAAGTTGACCTCACCCTAGCAAAAAGTATACCATTCGATGCACCTGAGCTAGGCGAACACAATGATGCCAAAATCGCGGCTCTGCGGCCATTTTTTGCGAAGTTATTTACTAAAAACCGAACCCGTAACTTCAGTCACGTGACCTGACCTCAGACGCTACCGGTTAACCTGAGACACCTGAGACCTTAAAATCGGGCACCAATCGCTGCGACTTGTAACGGCACACACGCCCGTTTTTTCCGCGAGGCTCTAGCTCTATTAGAAGCGAAACGGCGTGCTGGGGTCGTATCAACCCCTCCGAAACCCATTTTGTTTGCGGGAAAATGAGGAACTTATAGAAAGAACACCTTTCTAATTTTTTGCATGTCGATTTGCAATGACATGAAAATTATTTTGAAAAAATAAAAATGTGAGAAATTTTGGTCCCAAAAGTCATTAGTGGCAAATGAAAAAAGATTAAGGTTTTTGCTCAACAATGAAATTTTATCTTTGGAATTTTTAAATAGTAATATTAATTTTTGATTCATCGCAAGCTTAGTGTTGTTTACTTTTTGTTGGCTGCTTAACCCGTTCTTGAGTTATAGGCCATCAAACTCACCGTTACATACCGAAGTTAAAAAAATGTAATGCAATATAACTCAAAAAGTTTTGATCTGAGAGGTCTGATATTTTGCCAGGCGTCTTTGGGGCCTATGATTACCCCTAGGACCGATTTTCATTAAAATCTGAGAGATGAGGGTGACGGGCCTGGTACGATCTATCGTGGAATGCCCCAGCTAAGCGTATCAAGCGCGTCCGCGTGCGTATGTACGTCTTATATAATCTGCCCGTATAAGAGCTGCTCGAATGCTGTTTCTCAGTAGACGTACTTGGGAGCGATACGATAACTGGCTGGACCACTATCACGTGTTAGGTAGAGGCTGCAGAAGTACCTACGCCTACACCGGAAAATCGAACAACGTATGCACAGAAGCTATCGCGGCTTTATCAAAAGTGAACCAGCTCTGCAGCAGTGGCCGTCCGACCGTACTGAATCATCACTGTTTTCCAAGACTCCGGTCGCGCGCAGGCACGCTGTTTCGGCGTCAGTGATGTTTTTAGCCTGCGTCAGCGGCACGGCGACATTAGGGCGGCTCGTGACGGAACGCTGGGGGTATCTGGACGGCCCGCGCCGACGGGCATCCAGGAATCGCCCACCTAAGCCACCTTATAGGACACAATCGGTGGGTATCGCGACGTGCAATGTCGCACAAGGCCGGCCTGCCAGTCAGCTGGCAAGAACGTCACAATCGATAGTGACTCAGTAGCCAGACTCGCTGGAACGGGAGTCAATTCTCGGGTAACCGACTCAGACTACTCGGGAGTGAGATGACGCGATGTTCCGCCAACACTCATCCTCTGAAGATGCTCGCCCGCCCACAAACGATTTCGTGCGAGCGATGTTTTTAGGTAGGACCGGTTCCGGTCTCCAAAGTCAACAAGTGAGTCAGACCGGTTTCGTCGATGACGCTGTAGGTAGCCCCCGCCCATAAGCCAATAAAATGAGCTGATGACAAGGAAAAGGAGGGAAACGACAGAGTAAAAGGTCATCCCAGCAAAAACGACAGAAAATGTGATGATGCAATTATGGGTTGTTATCGTAATTCTAATCAGCGTCCTAACTACATAGACGTTGCGTTGCATCAGCCATCATAAGCATATTTTACATCGTTAAAATACGATGCATGCGCTGTGTATAGGGTATAAAGACGGAAATTTGTCGTCTTATCAGATCATATTATCGTAATTGAACTCTGCAGCGGAGCATGGTAAAGATTCTCTGAAGTTACCGAAAAGTGGAAGACGGAAGGACAAATATGTATAGTTGCATCAGCATTATAGGGCATTATTTGTTTGTTTGTTTTGTTGGGTTAGGCCCTTTCGGTCTGACAAGACCATTGCAGAGCCGGAAGGATGATAGGAATTAGGGGGAGACATTAGTCTGGGCAGGCACCCTAGTGAGTCGCCGGGGCTGAGCCCGTCCAGAGGACAGGCCACCCAGCCCCAAGGCACTCACTGCACCCGGCTACGGGGTGCGCTCCCTCGGGAGCAGCGGTGCCGCTCCAAGGGAGCAGCCCGCATGAGATAAAGTTGCCTGTCCAGCCCGGAGGGGGGTTGTGGCGTGGAGGAGAAGGATTTCAGTATCCTGAGGATAGAAGCACGGATAGGTGATAGGGCATTATCAGCACCTATGTCGGTACTCACATGAATTTGGTCCATGATGGCAGCAAACTGCGGGCACTTCTGCTGGTAGGTGTTGATGAGGTTCATGGCGTTGCTGTAGCCGCTGACGTACTCGGTGTACATCTTCAGGAACGGCGCCGACCTCTTCATAATGTCACCTGACAGATAAACACGGTTCCTTATAGAGAGTCTTTCGGGCCCGGCGCAGTATGCAACATGCATTACAATTAAAAAAGAAAGCATCAGGTAAAAATAAAACACATGTGTTCCTCCTCTTCCTAGAAAGGTAAGTCGTATTTTTTTGTGATGGTTGTGCTGTTGTGCATCGTTCGCTGAAACCTAACTTTCTGAAGTCATCACAACATTCCCACGGACAGGAACAAAGTGGGGCTATTTGGGGTGCCCCAATGTGCCTTCGGCCTTCGGTTATTGGGTGCACCAGTATAAATTATTATAAAATTTGGGTTGGGCCCTTTCGGTCCAATGGCACCATTTCAGAGCCGGGAGGATAATAGGATATAGGGGGAGACATTGGTCTGGGCAGGCACGCTAGTGAGTCACCGGGGCTGAGCCCGTCCAGAGGACAGGCCACCCAGCCCCAAGGTACTCACTGCACCCGGCTACGGGGTGCGCTCCCTCGGGAGCAGCGGTGCCGCTCCAAGGGAGCAGCCCGCATGAGATAAAGTTGCCTGTCCAGCCCGGAGGGAGGTTGCGGCGTGGAGGAGAAGGATTTCAGCATCCTGAGGATAGAAGCACGGATCGGTGGATGCACCAGATCACTCATGTATCTATATAAGTGTCAACGATGAACGAAGCATCACGGGAGCCCCAGCGGCCCACTCCCTGTTTGACCGGTATATAACACATCTGGTGACACGCGAGGATTAAAGGTAGTGTGCCAGCTTTCCTGGACCATATGGAGTTAATGGCCCAGATAAGGAGAACCGGATTTTTAGAACTTATCCATACCTTCAAAACTCATGGAAACGTCTTAAATTCTTCAAATTTTGAGTACCCCAGTGCGAAATTCGCCCCGACGGGTTATCGGTCGTACCCCAACCACATTTCACACCACTATGAACAATAAATGCACACACTGAACTCGCTATTACCGATAGGCTCATCCAATCAAGTTTCGATAAACCCGTTCATCATCATCTCCTGCGGTTTCGAACACGCCTGTTAGGTGGTGCGGTAGACCGCGCCCAAAGCCAGGGCCCCGGTAACGTGAGGTAGCCGAGTCGGGGCAGCGTGCGCTGACCCAAGCCGGGGCCGCGCGTCCTCCCGGTGTCATGTGATAGCCCGGGGCTGCCCGCGGGGATGCGGTAGACCGCGCCCAAAGCCGCGGCCCCGGCTTGGGTCAGCGCACGCTGCCCCGACTCGGCTACCTCACGTTACCGGGGCCCTGGCTTTGGGCGCGGCTTCTGCTCATACTTTGTGGTGCGGTGGTGGTGCGTCGGGCCGCGCGCTCTGACTTCGGCCAAGAAAAATGCGTCAGCTGATCATTGTCATTTCTGCCACTTTCATGTGGTGAGATGGGGTCATAATTTTAGAGACGGCTGTTTCATATCAATTATTTTACATAAAATAATGTTTCAAACCATAAATTAATGTTTGACAGCCAAATAAAAGAAACAATACCAATACAGGCTTACAGTTTAAGGCTCGACATTGTGTTGTCTACGATTAGACAGCTGATAACTCATTCCCGTACGTCGTAACTCTATAATGACCTTTGCTTATTGTCACATGTGCGCCGCATTCGCGATTGTTGCCGACGCCTGTTTGCAGGCCAGCCCACTACAGTTGTTATACATATCGAAAAACCGATAAACTTTTAGGCGAAAAAGGCACTATTCCAGACCCATTTTTGATTTTTTTTTTGCGATATTAGGAAAAAACAGAAGCTTCTTATCCTAGGAAAAATAAAATGGGAAATCTTTCAAAGGTGACACACTACCTTTAATGTAACAGAGTATCTACTCCTACAGTATCAGAGCACATATCATATAGCCTATTCCGCCCCTCCCTGACCCTCTTCGATATCTCTTCTTCTCTAGGTAGTGGCTGGATAAAAGACAATTTAAACCCACTTCAATGCCAATCATCCCGCTGCACTGTGATCCAAGCTCAGACGATCGTGGTGCGCAAGCGACCGTGGCAGAAATTCTTGTGAATAAGTGTATCTCTATGGCTTAACTTGCGTGGCAGTGACTAAACCTTCTGCATTCGAACGACGAAACGATTCCAAGTTCAGAAGGGTCCACCAGCCGTTTTTCGAAGAAATGTTCAGAAGAAGGGGCTACCGTTACACGCTGATCCAGAACCATGACCGAATATTCTAGGAACTCCTACGCACACTGAATGCGTGGAGGGTCATCTGATAAACGCATAATCGTCCGACCGTTCTTCTGCGTAGGCCATTGCGTCACGCTAGTCAGCCGAGTCGGCAGCGGCGGATCTGGGGAGCCGAAGACGGGCTGCCGGACGGCCTGCAATGATCAGACCAGTGTCCAGAGCAATGATCAGACCAGTGTCCCGTGCAGTGTCCCGGCTGACGAGGGTTGTTTGAGAGCTGTCAGAAGGCCACACGTGCAGAGGCGGCGACCCTGGCGCTGTCGCACGTGACTTGTGACAGTTTTGAGTGGCACATGTGACGGCCGTCCCGCGCAGCACTAAACTGGCGCACGCAGCATGTGGCATTTCCCTACAGGCTGCAATCGTCTGCTTGGTATGATTAGGAAGTTGCAGAGCACAGAGCACAAACACATGGTAAGTTGACAGCGAACTACATACCACCGCCTTAGGGCCAGGGCAGTGAGACAGAGACGCCGCAAAGAGAAGAACATGACATGGAGGAATGCGGGCCAGGCGAAGAGAGTATCAGGATCAAAGTTCAAGAATGGTACACAGAATCACGTCAAGCAGTTGATGATGAAGGGAACACCCTTGCTGTGACGTTAAATCCATCTAAAGCTTGATAAGCCGTGATGCTCAGCATCACGGTCAATCAACAGCCGGAGTAGCTCTCATAGTCAGACCACCCTGCACCGGCCACTTTAGCTATCATCCCGTTTGATTTGCACGGCGCGATAGCCCTTCACCCCTCTGCTTCCCCTGCACCCCGACTCCCCGGCCGCGGGCGCTCATTGCGGTCGCCGCCGGCTGGACCTTGGCCCACTGCCCGTCATTTCGGTCATTGCCGACGACACGCTCCGCCGCCGGTCTCGGCTCGGCCACGAGCTGACTGGCTGGAACGTGGGGGACCCGGCTGGACGGAATGGTGGAGGGTGACCGGCGGGTCTGGGCGGCAGCGACGGCGGAGGGAGCGAGCCTGAGAAACTGCAAATCCAGTTAGCGGAGACGGCTGAGGGAGCAAAAACGACCTTCAACAAACCGCAGCGAGGGGAGGCCGTCTTATCTTCTGCAGCTAAACAATCCTGCTCCGGTCTCCGCTACACTCCCTCTTCGTAGCATGAACGCTCTCTTACCACCTCTTTCCAGCTAAAGCTTTCCCGTGGCTTGGTTTAGCTGCACTAATGGCTCCTAGATAAAAAGGATTAATGGGTTTCAGAGTTGTATAAATGTTTCGCTTAGTAAACGACAAGGTACCGCAACAACCAGCCATTCTTGCCGATTATGTATAGTGTTTTAATTGAACGGATTAATAGCATCGTTAATTCGGTGACCCGATGGTTTCTGATAGTCTCACTGCTACCCTTAACAAACTTGTTTTTTGTCACAATTTTAATTCAGCTGAGCACCAAACGGCCTCGGAGCCACTTCTGCCGCATCACTTGTATCATCTCAATTGGTCTGCCTCAATGCTGCGCGCCATCAATCCCAGACCACCACGAAACAAGGAAAACATGACGATCATCACCCACGCTCGTCTGTCCCCGACCGGCGGACGCGGATAGACGTCTGCGGCGACGGCTGTTTCCGGTCCACCGCGCCGGACAGACGCCAGACGGACGGTGGACATGTCATGGTGAGCTCACCAAATGGTGGCGTAACTCGTGTAATGTGCTCCAATGTTCCCGCAGGCGGCGGCGGATAGCTCTGTGGTCGTGATATCGCCGCAGTCGTCATAACCACAGCAGCAGATGGCGTATTGGATGGGAACTATGACGAGGATCCGACTGATGTTCCAATTCGTGGGATGCTGGTCATTTGGTCATGTTTGTTGGGACTATGTCCTTTGACTAACATTCCGGTCAAACCATAAGCTCAGCCCGAGCAAACAGACGTCATGTTTGGCGATCCCAGGTGCTCCACAACATGCGACCTAAATCGCAACACGGCCAGGAACATTTTGGTTCTCATGACCGCATGCACACGTTCTCGGACAGCCCAGTCCCAAGTCTATGAGATCCCGAGTGCTCACCTATCCTGGGGTTGCTGTCCCAGTCCTTGAGCCGGGCCTCCAGCTCCTGCAGGAGGTGGTCCCGGTGGAACTGGTGGATCGACTGGATGTTGAGGAACATCTGCGTGGTGACGTCATTGTTGAACAGGTGCTGCTTGCGGTTCTCCTCCTCCACCCGACGCCGGAAGATCTGGGAAGGGAAGGAGACGGTCATCGGCTGCGGGTATCGGGGCTCAGAGCAGCGCATGCAGCCACCATTGCGCTGCTCTGTGTCCTTTTTACTTGAATGTTAGTACTTAACATGTCTCTCTCAGACCATAGACGGGAAGATGCAATCGGTATGCAAATCATCAGCCGCCAGAAATATCAGGATAGTCAGGATGATAAATTGGCATTTAACCCGCGCACCGACGGGGGGGGCGGATATCCGCCCCCCCCCCCCCTGAGGTTTTTCGCGGATAGCGGGAAAACCGCGGCGCGTAGCGCCGCGAAATTTGGTATGACTATTCTCTCATCAATTTTACACATGGTGTGCAAGTTTGAACCTCCTAACTTTTAAGGTCAGGTCACCAGGTCACTTTGAATGACCCAACCTCAAGTCACTTTTTTGCAACTTTGTCACCGTGCCAGAGCTACAGTAGATGTCGGAGGCCTTTGAAAGTCGCAGGATGTTATTAGGTCATTAGTAGCTACAATTTGTATATCTCGGAATTTTGATGTCGGTGACCTAAGGTCAGGTCAATTTCGCGACCTCCCCATTATAAGTCAATGGGGGAAAAATCAACTCCCTGTTTTTACCACTAAAACGGGTCGGAATGGCCCCATATACCATACATGACTTCACATACGATCAACCTTCACTACCTTGAGGTCTGTTTTGCTGTTGGGCAGCTGTAAGGTCATGTGACGTCATCAAAGGTCACCAAAGGTTTTTTGCCAATAACTCCTTACAGGAACAAGATACAGCCGCGCGGATGGTCTCATTGTGTTCAGCTCATCAAGACGCATCGAATGATATACATGATGACCTCGAGGTCACGTGACCTGAGGTCAACCTTTGACCTTGACCTTTCGAGGTCAACATACATATCATTCGATGCGGATTGACGAGAGGATCACAATGATGCCCTTAGTTTGTTCCTATCTTGACTACTTCGAAAGTTATTCGAGAAAAACCCTCTCCATATCTAGCGCCGCCATTTTGACTTTTTCGACCCCTGTGACGTCATCTTTGACCTGACCTGAAAATGACCTTTGTAAAAATTGTAGACCTTGTCCGTGCGTATCCGATGCCGTTTACCGCTTGTCGCTATCTTGCTTCGTTCTCGAGATCTCAGGGGGGGGCGGTCATCCGCCCCCCCCCCGTCGGTACTAAGTTGGCGCAGACCCCCGTCGGTGCGCGGGTTAAATAGTACACACTGAATTTGATCACAAAATAGAGTAATACAAGTTAAGAATCGGACTATGGATTATCGGTCCGCTAGTAGTCCCTGGACTAGCTTTCCTGCGTTCGCGCACTACCTAAGCTAGGCAGGTAAACCTATAAATTTATCACTATCGCTTTTTCTGTTCCTTTCAACCGGTCACTTTCTCTTGTGGCCACACTAAGATAATCCTATCTAAAGAACCGTCTATTTATCGCCGTGACCAGCTATACCAGCCATCAGGGCCACACCAGTCGTCGAGTGTATAGTTCGGACCACAGACAACAAACTGAGCATCAGTGTAAACGTTCAAGCTCGGCTCTTAAGGCCGCCCCACACTGGAACTCGCATGCGGGTTGCGAGTTTGCGGGTTTTGAGTTTGCGGGCATAATACTAATTCACAGAGTGATTAGACCGTTCCCTTATGGCAACTTCATGAATGCAGTGAAGCCTGTACACCTTCAGGAACTTACATGTAGTCGCAACACTAGCGCAACGAACCAAAATTCGACTTCAACGAAAAACCCGCAAACCTCGCAGAACTCGCAGACCTCGCTGCGAGGAAAATCGAAAATTGACTCAAATTTAACTTTTGGAATGCGATGCAAGGTCGCTCGCAAGCTAAAAACATGCAGACTAGCTTGTTAGATGGTAGTGTGGGTCTCTCAGCTTAGATTATATTATTTGATTTTGAAGAAACCGCAAAACCCAAAAACTCGCAACCCGCATGCGAGGTCCAGTGTGGGGCGGTCTTTAGGACAAGAAAGACAAGGGCCGTGCGATTGTTAGTGTGGATGAAATAAGCCTGCACAATAGAAGAACTACACATCACGAGATTTATTATAGGTTAAGCATACTCCTGATGGGCATTGAGCATAATAGGTAGGTTATATTTTTGTAACGAATGTTTAATGAGATGGGCACAATAGAATTTGTTTCGGTCGTGTTGAAATACGGACCATTGTTATACTTTTCCACATGGTTCGATTCAGGCCACCACACGACAAACTCGTCGCATGTTGTTTTCCTCTAACTATTCCTGTTTGTGTTATAGCCCACGCTACGAGCCGTATATCAACACGAGACATCGGATGTTTTTTCCACGGACGAGTTTTGTTGTCGGCTGCACGCAATAAACGCCCGAGTGCGTGTTGCGAAAGAGCATCGAGATCTCAGATAGACCTGACCTCGACATCGCCTCGCTGACAAACATACCATGTCATGCAGCTGCGCTATTAAACCGCCTTTGCTACATGGCATGAGACACCGCTTGAGATGACAGCCTGATAGGGCTAGCGTGAGAGTGAAAAGACGAATTCGCTAATTGAGGGAATGCAGTAACATCAGGGACGTTGTTGTCTTCGGGTACACTCGGGTCTAAAAAGGGGGAAAACCACTCGGCCGAAATGGGCAGCGCTATCGATGTCAACTCACCTGGTCTATGAGGTGCAGCTCCTGAACATATTTCCTCTCCGTGGTGAGCAGCTCGTTAGCGATCTTTCTGAGCCGCTCGCGCCGCTGCCGCTCCAACTGCTCAAAGTCCACCTCGCTCTGTTCCAGGTCACTCTCAGACTCTACTGAGGGCGCTTCTGAGGGCGCCAGTGACGGCGGCCGCGCGACCGACCGCCACGGCAGGGCTGCCGCCGGCGCCGCCCCCGCAGCCGAGCCTGGGTCCGCCCCTGGCGGTGACCCGGACGGCCGGAGGCGACAGAGCGGCCGGTGGCGCCGCAGGGGCCGCTCGGAGGCCGGCTCCGCGGGGACCTCAGTGATCTCCACCCGCGGAGGGGGCTCCGCCGAGCCAGCCCGGCTGGGAGGCCGCCACGGCAGCGCTGGTTTGTTGGACCAGCCCAGCTGACGCTGAGCGGTGCGAGGTGAGCCGCCCAGCGCCGGCCGGCCGGTCCAGCCCAGCTGACCCGACCGCGAGCCGCCGGCCAGCGCTGGCGTGAAGTCATCGTCGTCGTCCGACTCAGACTCTGAGCCGTAGGAGTCCTCGAAGGCGATCTGGTTACCCGTGATCCTGCCAAACAGAGCAGACGGTAGGCGTGTCAGAAGGCAGCCTAGTTATCAGGATTCGGGGCTGGGAGAGACTGGTGATAGACACAGCTGACGCTATATGGAGTGCTCCGACTGGTCAAAACAAGCTCTATCTACATAACACTTGGACTTGGATATCACTGCGGCTGGCACGGTTAATAAATCACTTTGATGTGACAACAGCACTTCCGTAATCATTCCGAGGATAAAAGAAAGTTCAGATTAATTATTCGATCGAATGCAGATCTGCCATCGAGCCGTATCCAGGCTGAGCCGTGGTGAGGCATCAGACAGCTTTGACGTAGCGCGGCTTCCTTGCACCGCCGTGGTGTGAGTGGTTGCCTGATATCCGTCCCGCCTGCCTTAACTGGCTTGATGGGTGTAACCGGCCGCGGCGGCAGCAGCCCACCAACGATGACGTCACAAAATGACGCTGTTCCGTGACGTCACGCTCAGAAAAACTGGTCCACTGTGCGCTGATAGCTTCGACGAACTTCGCTCGGAAGCCGCACAGGCCGGAGGTGGCGGAGGCGCTCGTGGGCGAGACAGAGCACAACAGTGGAACAGGGCTTCCGCCGCGCGGCGCCTCGCGCCGACACGCGTCCCACATCAAACAACGACTTTCCGGCGCCGCGGAGCTCTGGTAAAAACGACAGACGGGCCGGACAATGGACAATGATGGAGAGGCCGCGAGTCGACGACCCGGCGGCCAGGATAATAAAATAAACGGGGCTACATAAAACGAGAATTAGAGTAACAAAGGGAATTGTGGGGACAAATTGGGACTGGAAAAAATATAAAGGAGCAGCTAAGCTAAAAACACAACATTTTAGGAGGAAAGAAGCGTACAAAACAATCAGTCCTACCAAGCAGTATTGACGCGTTTCACAACCAAACTCGTTTCCCAACCAATCAATCACTAAATACACCGAAAGGTGTGGTGAGCCGACGGGGCCGCACCTGTGTGTGTATGTCTGTGTGGTATGACGTCAGTGCCGAGGTGCGGCCAGCTGGGCAGACCCGGGGGGGGGGGGCAGACGGGGGAGGGGGTGACTCGTCCGTCCGTTCGGCCCAGGGCGGTTCGTCAATCGGACGGTGACGTAGATCGGCCGTCAGACTACGCCGTAAACACATCGGGGTACCGTCTGACTAGGAGGGCGGGACAGCATGAGAGGGCTGGCTGGCTTCAATGAGAGTGAGCAGCCGCAGCAGTCAACAAGGAAGACTTGATTTAGAAGGGCGAGAAAGACAGATGGACTTTGGCGCAGCATCAAGATACAACCAATGCCCTGGTTTTCGGCTGATGAATTGGTGGCCGTCTCAAGGTCTCGTTCAGAAATTCGTGCGGCGTCTTTATCAACCATAAAGCGCGCCTGCGTGTGATCAAGGTTCAATTCTCAAGCTACCAGATAAGCAGCAGTACCTATAGCCTATCGCCCATCACTCATCACTCCCCGCGGCGCTGCAAGTCCCATGGGACGCAAGTCTGGCGCCGCCAACGGACGTCATCTCGGGACCTTTGGCAGCGAGCCCGCTCACAGGAATCTGTCCAAAGGTCGTGGTATGTCGCTCGGGGGCCCCACGGCCTACGGTCACTGTACGTAGTCACAGGCACGTCGAGCACGACTGTCAGGAGCACCTATAGTGTCCCTCAGATGATGACAGGCTCCGTCTAGCAGCGCGTGAAACATGGCAGTGGCAGCACGTGCAGCATGACCGAGACAATGCTGCCATTCTCGCAACATTGCCAGTCTTTCTGCGCAGCCTGTCAGCGGAGTGTGACAATGTAGCACTAAAGTCCAGGAAGGCTGAGTCAGAGGCTGCGGTGGACCCACGCGACGAACAGAGTTCGCGATGGGAGCGGAACGGGAGGTCGGCGATTACGGTTGGAGAGACGGCAGACAACCGACCTCTGCGGCCTCTGCGACCGACCTCTGCGGTCGTTATCTTCTCTGCTACAGGCTGCCGTGATATCATACCTACTGCGTGAAGGCCACACGCTGTGTAAACCCCGCATGCCGCCGCGCCACCTCACCGTACACACACCAGTCGAGTAAACCTGCACCTGGGTCTCACAGCGGTTACACCCGGGTCCCAGCTGTCTGCGTATTCATACCGAACGTGAGAGTAAACACACTGTCTCAGAGCTTGGCCTATTTGTTAGCTGGATGACAGAGCCACGCCATCTTGTTTTTAAGTCGCCCGTATAGGGGGGGGGGGTCGAACGGACCCCCCCCCCCCATGATTTTTCGCGATATGGGCTCTATATCTCTTACACGCCATCTCTTACATCCATGACAATTCTAGAGAAAGGAGACCAGTTTGGACTAACAGAAACGAGGCTTTAGGGAAAGACTACCACCCAAACAATCCAGGTTTGTGAGCCCCAGTCATGTCACTCCCACTGACCTCGACTTTGAACTCGGGACCGTTTGACGGTGCCAACTGCCAAGCGAGAGCCAGCAACTGTCTGTCGGCGAGGTAAACGGTGTCTCCTGGCATGGCGCGCCTCCTGGGCTGCCCTGGGTCGGGGCCCTGTCCTAGCTATGGACGGGTTGCGTGGTGTATTATTGCGTCGGCGCGGTGGCTGGGAAAGAGGATGTTATGAATGGGGCTGTGAGTGGTCAATCCGTGCTGTCGAGTCTGACAATATGACGCTAAAATTCGGGAAGTGCTTATGTTCTTCAGTTTTAGCTGATCTAGGATGCATTTAATAAGTTTGGTGCGTCGTAAAACGTTAAAGAACACGCACCTAATCGGGGCTAATCCGTCGCGGAGTAGGTACCTACTACCTATCCATTGACTGTGTTCAGTTTTTGCCGCTAGATGTCACTAGCGATAAGCCCCTGTAAGCATGCTGTGCCGCAATGCCTGCGTACTGCATATGCATAACACATCCACTTCGCGATCTCATAAATACAGATTGAGAGACACATCATAATCGTATATAAGGCAAATGCTTGGTTAAAAAGTCTATTTAAGGGCTTGAACGCAACAGCGCTTACTTTAATGCCTATCAGTCATCGGCCATAAAAAGGTAGCATTTCACTGAAGGACGCTAATCATCATAACAAATGTTGGTTCAGAGGAACGTCGTCTTTGTTAACTAATAATAAGACGCGAATCCCGCAGCCTTTCCGTCTTGAATCTCTCCTCCCTATTACTATGGTGATATGTTTTTTGACGCCATGAACCAGACCAAATGCGACACGGCCGACGACTGTTGTGACGTGGGTGACAAGGTCACCTGAAGGATGGGATGAGAGAGATTCCGTTTTTTTTTTTCATAACCGTACAGTGGTTCAAGCGGGATGATAATTATAAGCGAAAACATGCAGGCACCACAAGAAGCTGATAAGATTATTATTATCGAAGTGCTTGGGTCGCCAGACGGCTTTATCTCGTATCTGCCACACTTACGTTTTTGCAGCATGCTTGTTTGTGTGGACTCTAAACACGCTTATTCATATGTCGATAAGAAGCAGTTTTACAGAAATCGATCAACATGAAGTGAAAACATCACTTCCAATGCTGCAATTTAAAATTGTGCATGGATACCTACCTATCCCGTGGTTAATCTGACAATGATGATGGCGACCCGTCCCATCCCATTATCAGCCACATAGAGAATGGATTAAGAACCTGACTAATTAGCATTGGGTTCTATACTACTGCATGGAGGCAATAGCCAATCAAAACCGTTTGACGACTGACTGACCTGAATAACAGAGTCGTTAAGAAGCAAGAAGGCGACAAGGCCACATCCCAGTGGTTGGAAGTTGGAACCAGAGCACATGTATGATATAAGATAAGTGCTTATCTGGTCATATAATAAACTTGACAAAGTTAGCTTTAGCGTCACAGGCAGGCAGCCTATCGATATGAAATGTGAGGTAAGAGTTAAGACAGACCTTTCTGAAATATTGCGCACTATTTTAAGCGCTTTAGAACAATTAACGCTGAATCTCAGGGTTTCAGAGTGACTGCATGTTTTTAGATCCTGGCCAACAACACCGTTCGAATTTGCCTTGGTGGGCGCCATGGCAACAGCTACACCGGCCCACCACGCCCTGTGGCATGGACACGGCGGCGGCGGTGGCAGGGTGGCCGCCTTATTGATTCGTTAGAAGGGCGTGCCCGACACGTATCCCGCCAGGGAAGTGATTGGCTACTTCACTTCAGCTCTGCTGGACACGAGAGGGATATGAATTTATTCACCTTTAGATATTCTCAAGGATATAAACCATTCGCTTCGCTACGTCATCACGTTGAGCTTGATGCCAGCATTCAAGGAAAAAACATGCTAGAGGAGTCCCAAGCCATATAAGGCTTTGATCTGACGTTAGATGCATTTGAGCAATCGATTAGATTAGCATCAACAGTTTCCGGTGCAGAGTCCGAGCTGCACGCTGAAGTGGTGCTGTGATTGAAGTTGCAGTAAATATCCGTGATTTCCGCTGTATCGTGAGTGGCAGGCTGGACTCACCCTATAACTGCACGGCTGAGATGAGAAGCTATTGACCGGAAGGAGGTTATGGCTGTTGGCCATTCAATGGCTGTCCAAACAACGGTGAGGGCGGCAGCATGCAAATTTTACGGACATATAAACAATCCCATTCAATCAAACTCTGACTCTGACCTCCCGAATGCAAGATATCTCTGTGAAGCAAAAGGACATTTATTTTCCATTTGACGGAACGAAAAAAGATAGAGAAATATTCATGTGAGGTTTTAATTAAGCAAGAATCATTAACATCAGCAACTATACTTATACATCAATCATGATAGATAATGCGAAAATCGATATATGAATGCACATTGGAATTTGAAAATTAGTGATGCCGAGAGATTCGAATATTTTTCCCGTAACTCAGTGTTTGATCCGCTTAAAATTGACCACAGGTATGTCGAAGCCATTTTGCATGTTCAATAATGCTATTCAAGATGTCAGATATCAGCTGGCAGATATAAAATTATTACTTATCAACAATTGTATCTACTGTTCCTCACTCCCTTATAATCCACATGCTTTTCGGGCCATATAAGGAACCAATTCCAAAACAATACCCGCTCCACACGCCATTCTCAATCAAGACGGGCCCACCACCACAATCCCCGCAGCTCCGCCATTCGCAGTTCCGTCACAAACACTCGCTCTCAGCAGGTTCGGCGGGGCCTCTCCAATGGAAATTAGCCGGCTTCCCGGGAACGCGCATACATTAGAGGGCTGCGGTTGAAGGATGCGCCGCGTGACCTCGGTGAGATATACGCGTGCCGATGGGTAAACAGCCCCTAAGGCAGGAGGAACGGAATGGTGGGTCAAAGGTGATATAAGGACGGGGGAGGGAAGTGATTTGGTGGGTGTGGAGTGAATGTTGAGAGGAATTTGGAACAGCTAACAGGAGGGTAAGAAAACAGAACTGCAATCCGTAAGCAAAAAGCTTCGAATTATAACATTGCTTTATTTATTTATCTATCTATTTTTTACGAATACTGATGCGTTATTCAGGTCGTTTGAGCATGCTGCTGTACGAAATGTAGGAAAGGCATGCCGAGCCGCCAGATTTCGGATAGTCGCCGTAAAGCCCACTTTACGTCATAGAAAAATGTTGACGGAGGAACCATTGCAAAATGATGAGTCACGCCCGTCGAGCTTTCGGCACTTGAATAGCTGAGACGAATGGCCATAATTAAACGTAATGCCCGTGCAGCGGAATTTAGAGATCCTCCCAACGAATCAGCAGGCGCATTAACCTCGCAGTGTTTGCGGGCGGGCCTCTCTCGCCCGTCATCGGTGGCATAACGGCACCATTCGGCGGTCTGTTACCAGCGCCATATACCGGCAGAGTGGAGCCATTTGGCTGTCAGCCGCGGAGCCGAGGGCAGCTACGGCTGCCGAGGTCAACACAGCGGCAGCAGCGAGCGTGCAAGAGAGGGGTCATATTGGCTCTTTTCGGACGGCGGTGTGAAGGCACTCATCCGATCCCGTCTCTGGCCTCTGCCACGGTCTGCTCAGCCAAATCGGTGACGGAAATAACGTCAATGACTGGTTCCGTATTAGACCACCGGCGGACTGGCAGAGGGCCGTTTGGACGGCGCGAGTGTTGTCTGACGTCAGCGGAGAGAGGAAGAGAGGAGGGAGAGCGGCGGGGCTGTCGGTCGGTGACAGAGAGCGATGGCTGTTTGGAGACGCTGGGTCGCAGCTCAGGTTTGTCTGGGTTCGGCGCAGTACCGGGACAGACGGGGATATGTAGCTCGGCTGCTCAAAGCGGCGCATCTTCACAGTGGAAGACATAAGAGCACGTCGATCTAAGAGCAGGCTCAAGACACTAAAATCATTGCTTTTAGGAGATTCCATTTTACTCTGAAGATTTGATTCACTTATTACGACCTGTCATTTATATGCATCCTTTCAAGCTGGATAATCGAAAACCAAACCTGCTTTCGGTAATGCCTACCCCGTTTGAGCCCCGAAGGCGATTAAATCCCTGTTCGGTATGCATAAGCCAGCAGAGATGGTAGGCGGAAGGATGAAATTCCCGACAGGCCGACAAACAACACCCCGTTCTGAGCTCGTCTCTGCCTATTCCCAGTCCGCCCTTTCACCCGGAGCGACGGGACCTGTGCTGTGCTGCGGGGGCGGCCGGCTTGGTGACCTGCTGGGTGAGGGTGTTGTTTGGTATTGTGGTCGGTATTTAGGCGCTGGTGTGAGGGCGTGCCGCCACCCGTCGCTTACAGACCACCGCCCGCCGGTTACAACTGACCGCCCACCACCCACGGCCCACCGCCCGGAGCACGGCGGACCGTTCCGAACGTGACTCGTAAGTGACGCAGCGGATCATGGGCCAGGTGTGCGTAAGTTAGCCCTGGGGCGATGGACCAGATGTGGCCCCAGATAACCGGACACAGTGGCCTTACGTGAGGGCAAACAAAGGGCCGAGGAGGGCGACGAACCAGCACTAAATAACCGGAGAAGGCAGGAAGATAACGAAGAGGTGCGAAAGGGCCGAGTGATATACGGCACGGAGTAAAGATAGGTACTATGGGCCATGGCGTTTCCACTGCAACGCTTACCCGAAAAAAATTGACATGAACCATAGCAAAGCCCAGTCTCTGACGAATGACAGTGCGCCTTCTTCAGCCGTCAGCAGCTCGAAAGCGAGTGCTGGGAGGCGGCTACCGTTCACACCCACAGCCTCTTCTTGGGGTGCACGAGCAAGAAGCTGTGTCAGTGGGAGCCTCAGCAGGTCCCCTCGGTGGATTGGGTGGAGGAACACTATCCCGGGCGTGAGATGACGTGACCCCAGCGCGCAGTAGCAGCGCTCCGCCCATACATCCGCGTACGTGACTTTACTGGCTACCACTCCACCGACCAGTAGCCATGAACCCCTCCCTCCCCCTCCGCCACCCCTCCCTTTACCACAGACACCACGCCACGCCCCCTCCCCGGCTCGACCTCCACACGACCACACGTGCCACCGGTCACGTGCTGGTCGGTCAGATCGTGTCGGCTCGTGGCGTGGTAAACTAAAGTCAGCAGCTGTGCTTAGGTTCGTGGTTCGTCGGACTGGATCTGGCGTCATCGTGGTGACGTCAGAGTCTGAGCTGGCGTGTTTGTGAAACTCGCACCACGCGCGTCGGTGACTTTGAGCGCTATGTGGCGAGGGTAGCGCTGAACTGCCACAGTAGCTCACAGCACGCCTCCTAGCTCAGCTGATATGCTGTGGACGGTAGCACGATGGCCAGCATGAGAAGCCCCGCAGTGACCGGGCTGATCTGTTTGTTGTTGGTGCTCAGTATCGGCCATTCGGCTCGCTGGGTGGATCCCATTACACTGTGATGGTATTCCGACCTACACAGCTGGCGCAAATGAAAATAATTTGTCTTTGAGTGTGGGCGGTGATGGATGCCATGACGGGCGCGCCCGTGAAGAGACAGAACAAAGAATCAATGAGATTCGATCCATTAGCTCATGGAGCGCCAAACAATTAGAGCCTGTCTGAGCTTCGGCCGCAGACCCGAGGCTGAATGGAAGGTCACACATCTGAGTTCAAACACACCAACCACGGCGACGACCTTGGAGTAACGCCAGAGGGAGAAGAATGGGATTCAATTTCAGACGCGCTCGCCGGCTCCATGTATACAGCTCGGCTAGGAAGTTGGATTTGAAGACGCATCAGCTGAGTCAGTCACTAGTCAGCACATGGGCAAAACTCGGGTACTGATACTGTGACTGTGACTGTGACTAATACTGAAGTACGGGAATCATGTCCTTATCAATGGCAGTGCATTCCTAGCTAAGTCTTATCAAGCATACATCATCTTTGTGATAGCGCGATGGGGAGGTTGATAGGACTCTGTACTCACTTTGGCAGCTCGCCGTCGAGGCAAGTGAAGGAGCTCTGAGACGCCTGCACGTTGATCTTGTACTTGAGTCGCATCCCTGGCGGCTGGATCAGCGGGCCGGCGTCGAAGAACCTCCAGAGCGGCCCGCTGACCCCCTCCAGCGGCACCATCTGACCGTCTCCTCCGCCGCCGCCCAGGGCCTGACGCACCCCAAGCTGGGCGCGCACGTTGTAGTCGTTACCGCTCAGCGAGACCTGGCGCGGTCCGTTGTCGCTGGCCTCGTACACACCACGCCGGGAGCCTCCCGACGCGGCCACCTCTTCTGTAACGTGCGCCGCGCCGTCCGGACGTACGTGAACGGCCCGGTCGTGCGAGAGCTCCTGTCGCTGGGCGTCCACATGTGTACGACCTCCGCGCTGGGTCACCGTGGCAGCCTCGGTCTTGTGCGCGCGCTGCTGGCGGACCTCCGAGCCGTCGCTGTGAGTGTGCTCCTGCTGCTGCTGTCGAGTGACCCGGGTCACGCTCGGCTGACCCCAGCCGCCGCTCGAAGTCACCGTCGTGCTCGTGGAGGACGACTGGAACGTCTGCTGCACGCCGGACGGCAGACGGGACGGCATCGATAGCGGACCGCCGCCGGAGCGACTCACCAGAGCGTCACTCAGACCTGGGCTGTCCTCCGACCTTCCCAGACGGCTGGTCAGCAGTGACCTGCCGCCCAGCAGAGACGAACCGTCCAGCATGGACCTTCCATCGAGCAGGGATTTCCCGTCCAACAGAGACGAGCCGTTCAGCAGAGAACTACGGCCATCCAGCAGCGAACTCTGCTTGTCGAACAGCGAGGGTCCGCCGATGCGGCGCGGGGAGACAGAGTCCTTGAGCGGCGCCGGCGCCGGTTGGAGGTCCTTGGCCCCCGCCAGCCGCGCCTTACTCGATGCTAATGGGGATCCGCCGTTTTTAGCGCCGATCTCTCTGAACGGATCGTCCCGGCCCAGCCGCATCCCTTGCAGACCTTGGAGGCTCTTCATTCCCTGCATCTCGCTGTCTGCGAACATCTGCTGGAAGCGCTGCTGGGTCTTGCTGACAAATGCCTCGAACTCGTCGTCCGAGTCGCTGCCGATCCGGCGCCGAAACTCGCGCCGCAACTGGTCTAGCTCGTCCTCGGGTTCGGTAGGAGCGGGGGCGGGGGCGGGCGCCTGTCTGACCCTCACCGGGGCCGGCAGGCTGGAGCCGACCGGTCGGGAAGGCATATTGTTGACCCCGCCCACCGCCCGCGCTGGCAGACTGACCCCAACACGGACAGGGTCCGTTCTCGCCCAGCCGGTCCGACCGCCGCCCTGCTGCGTCATCGCAGAGGTCACCAGGGGTCACCGGAGGTCACGCTAATCGTCCGTGGCGCCGTCACCTCTGCCTGAATCAACAGGGTGCTGCCTTAGTAACGGATGATCAACCTCACTTCACCTCAATGACCGGCAGACGTCACCTCGAATAGTTTCCACTCTGACTCCGTAACACGCTCCAATCGACACAACTCCAAAAGTCCACGCACTCAACACGAGGCACTCCACCGCTGACCGCACCGCACCGTCTGACAGCTTTGACACTAGTGACAGCTGTATCGCCACACACAGTCCGGTTCAACACACTTCAAGCGTCCACAGCTCACCGTACCCTCACCCCTCGACGGTCTCCGACTGACTGACGGCGGACGGCGGCAGCGACGGCGACGGGCGGCGGGCGGCGGGCGAGGGGGCGGCGGCGGGCGGCGAGGGAGGGCGAGGGGCGGCGAGGGCGAGGGGGCGGACGGGGGTGGAGAGGGGAGAGGGAGTGTGGGTGCTGCGACGGGCTATCGCTCGCTCGCCGGATTCAGTGATAGAGTCGCCTGGGTCAGTCGGCATACAACAGAGGGTAGACGTCTCACGGCTTAGGATTGGCCATTTTGCCCTACTCAGCTCAGGTTTCGAGGGAATGTTGTATGTACGGTTCTCCAGGGTATTAGTCGTTGGTCGCTCGGCGAGCGGGAGGGCAACCAGTTCCGCCCCTGTATCGCGTGATCCCTTGCTCCGCCCAGTTACGCACGAGCGTACTCCACGCCGCGTAGTAGCGTGGGGAGGGGAGCGTTAGAATGGTGGCATGTGTAGAGGCTAGAACCGGTTTCCACCGCCATGCCACCGCCCAGCGACATGGAGCGGGGTCAGTGACCAGGGCGCAGGGAAAGGTCAGAGGTCAGCTATAACGTAGAACTTTGTGTCACCCTCCCTTCCGCGTTTAACGAGTAACGACCGCACGACAGCGGCCGGCCGCCGATCAGGCTTGACATGTCAAGGTCACCCGCAGTCAACGGGCTCAGAGGGTTGGTCGAGTGCGCGTCCGTGGCTGACGACAGTCTCGACCATGTGCTATGGTGCCGATAGACTAGCGTGGGTAATAAGTTTTTGTTCAGTGCATATGGCTGCTGGGGTGTGTCATCTTGATATGATGCTTTGTAACTTGTAGCTTAAAACCTCGCTGGCAGTGGCCGAGAGGAGAGGGGGGAGGGCGGGGAGGCGGGTGCCGCCTCCACATGTCTATTTTTGTTGATAGCTGCGAGAGCTGAAATTTGGCAAGCCTGACCCTTGATTCAAGCTGAATTTTTATGACAGCAGCTGTATTTTCACCCTCGCCCATATCGGTGTTTTGCCAGCGTCTATCGTAAAGGGGGGAGGAGGGTCCGTTGGACCCCTTTGCCGTTCAGCCCCTGATCGAGCTAGAGCTTCGAGGAAAAAGAGCGTGTTGCCCGTGGCGAGAGGAGGCCGATAATACCCAATTTTAAGGTCCTAGGTCATTTGTTGATAGGTCAATATAACTCAAAAGTCGGGGAATCGGGACCTGTTAGAGCTTCGTAAAGTGAAGCTGTTATAGGGTTTTGCAGGGTGCTGATCACGAAGTTAAGTTATGATTTCAAATTAGTTTTGATCACAGATGATGTTTTCGTGCATTTAGGCCAGGTCGGGCCAGGTCAGGTCAGGCTACATGCTACGAGGGAACCAAAACTACTTCTTAAATGTTCAAACGGTTTCTAAATGCGAAATCAACTCCAAAATCTACTCTAGAAACATGTAGAACTCGAAAGAGTGAACAAAGGTCATCAAAGGTCAGTGACCTGACTGACCTTCACGTGACCTTGATACCCACTAGAATCCATGGGATCAACATCCTTTCACATGTTTGATCGCTTAAAGCCACAAAAAGACAATAAAACGCGCTCTACTCGAAATACGCCAAAACGCGATTCCGGCCAAACATGGTCTCGGAAAACAGGTCACAAGTCAAAGTTCTTTTGAGTCAGGTCATGAAAATTATAGGGTAAGCGTAATATTGATAAACTCGAGGGTACTAAAAGTTTCGTCGCAATCAGCCGCTTTTTGCGCGAGTTATTTGCGAAAAACTGAGGGTAGGAGGCCTGTTCGACACCCTCCTACAAGTGCGAAGGTTAAGGTCAGGCCGTTGACCAATGACGTCAAAAGTGAACCTCTGTAAGGTCCCAAAATGTCGCGACGTCGCAGCACCCTTCGTGCCAGGGGACTTTTCAACGGGGAATGAAGCATGATCTAGTAGTTAGTACTATCTCCCAGAGGCCTCACAACTTGTATGTAGCTATCTCGTATTTTTATTAAGAGTCACCTGAAGTCAGGTCGGTCACGCACCCTCACGATTATTAATCAATTGGGAAATATGAAAACTGTTATTTTGGCGCCGGGAGCCATCTAAAGCTGTCTCAAGCGCATGAATTCGCAATTTTATACAATATTTGCAAACCCCAGAATTCACAATTCCATTCTTAAAGTTAGGCGACTTCATTTATGACGTCACTAAGGTCACAGGAGATTTCACCAAAAAGTCCCGATCAATTTGAGCTAGCGAGTCGGGAAGCCACCAGTGAACTTGTAAGGACCTACCGAATCGAGGAAGCGATATGACCTCCTTGAGCCAGCCTCGTGGCCTGAGTGGCTCTGCCCTGACATGACCTGAGGTAAACACCTTAAATTGACCTCAACAAAAACAAAACGTAGGTATATGACGCGCTTCGTGGCCAGCCTCGTGGCCTGAGTGGCTCTGCCCTGACATGACCTGAGGTAAACACCTTAAATTGACCTCAACAAAAACAAAACGTAGGTATATGACGCGCTTGAGCATGCAAAACTCGATGGTGCCATTGTCTTGGCTCTGTAACCACTTATGGTGAAGTTGTTTACCAAAAACCGATCCCGCGACTTGGAGCACTTATACTGACCTCAGAGTTTATCGGTGGACCTGAGACATTCAACTCGGTTACCAGTGGCTGCATCTCATACGACGCACGCGCTCAGTTTTATCCGCGAGGCGCTAGCTCAATTAGGGGCAAAAAGACGGAGAGGGGTCGTAATCGCCCCCCCCCCCCTCGGCCGGGGTATATGCAGAAAACCCAAAATTTCGTTGAGGGTTAAGCACTGAAGTGATATATCATGATGCGAGAAGATATAGGTCAAAACAAGAATGCACTCGAGCGGATGTGAATAAAACTGTGTTTGAGGTAGGTATGCCTTTTTTATTATACCTTTGATCTGCTTTAGTTAGGTATTGGTAAGAACAGATACAATCAAGAAGAGCGCCCCTGAAGAAAAGGTGGCGCACTTGACAGGTGCGATTTTAAGGTCTTTGGTCAGTCGGGGACCTCTAAGTTCGGATCAAGCGCTGCATGTTAGGGTTAAAAAAAATGGGGGCAACAATGCATCCCGATTTTGGCAGCATCGTCATGCTTTGTCACGGCACTCATCCACTCCCTCGGCCGAAATATTAGCTCCTTTTTGTATGAGTTCTGGCATAATCCCGCACATTATGCTGCATGTTGTTTGCCATGAAAAAAGCATGTTCAGCTACGTTCTACGCAGTACGCACTAACCTAACCACCATCCCATCATCCACCACTAGCCACCATCCCGTTCTGTGCTCCCCTTCCACCCCACACACATCAGCCGAGATACAAGTCAGTCGGGCTAGCGCTATCCTCCCCTCCCTTCCTGACTGCACAGCGCTAAAACCCAGAGCCGAGACTTCCCGAGCGCGACCTCTGACCCCACGCGGTCCGAAGGGTCGGCCGATGCCTAAGGGCGCGCCGCGCGCCGGCCACCCGGATAGCCTCTGCCGAGTCTCCCTTCCATACACCGTTTACTACGCGCTCGATTCATTCATGATTCTGTGTTTCCGCGTCCCTCTCGCTAGGTGGCACCATGTATGTCATAGGCGATCCCAGGAAGACTGCGGCCAGAATGCCCCAAACGGCAGAAAATGAGGTTTTTGCTAAATGTCTCAGAAAGTATTTGTCTTACGACGATGCAATTTCACAGTGTCGTGGCAAATGTGCATACGCACAAATCGGGTTAATACTTATGCATTTGAACATTATATAGGACCAGATATGTCCGAAAAAGCAAAACCAACAAGACTTTTACTGGAGAACCGTACTTACGTGATAACTACTCGTAAAATAATTAAGAATCTTAGCTATGTTACTTCGAAATATGTGATCAGACATTCCAGTCATTGACTGAATCTTGGGACTGACAGTCATCTTGGGACTCAAATTATCTCGGGAAACGTCAGCTCTGGGTGATGACGTCAGGTCAAGGTCAGATCACAGTTGCTGAAGTCACGAAGCTGATCGAGGACGGCTGCATGAAACATACCGTCCTCTGCGGAAAATCGTTCTGAGTTCATGCCATGGGCTTCCCGAATCGCCAGCTCAATTTGATCGGGAGTTGTGGGGAAAAAAATCTGATGACCTCTATCGAATTTAGTGACGTCTTATCGGACGTTCAAATGGGTGTTTGCAGTTAGTTCGAACGCAGCTTCAAAAAAATCTCCAATACATACATTTCGAAAGTCCCCATAAATCGCCTAAGGTCAATGACCTTGACCTGATCTTTTCGTCAACTTGACCGCCAGCCAAATACGGGACCGTGGGACCGTATTCTAAGCACGTGCTGCCTGGGAACTACTTAGTACCTATTTGACTCGACCACATAGGTACAATTAATTTCTGAGTGTAGAAATTTGCATTCCTTCGCCATATTATTATGTTGTACTAATGAGTCTCTCCCTTTAACGCATTAATGGCCTAATGGCTTTTTGGGTCACTGGATGAGAGGGGAGACAGAGTGAGTCCACCATCAGCGACCACTGCGGCTGAAACTGAATCCATGTCTCGGTAAAAAGTTAAACATTTCGTACCATGATACTGATGGGTTAATTAATCATGTTATTACAAAATGATAAGTCTGATGTGTGTCATCACTCGGTCGAAAACATGGGCGTAGGAACCTCACGAAAAGTGGGGGGGGGGGCAGCAAAACTTCAATGTCACTTTTGTGGGAGCTCCAATACCCCTATGAAGAAATTCTTTGCAGTTTTGTGCTCATCTCACCTGGTTGAACCATTTCCTGCTCTTAGTTTTGTATTTAAATCAAAAATAAAGATTTCAGTTTAAAAAATGGCTGAAAAGTGGGGGCATGGCCCCCCGGCCCCCCCCCCCCCCCTGTTCCTACGCCTATGTTCCTCGGTGACGACTGACGAGAAGGGCCATGATGGACCTCAACGCCCTCGGCCCTACAGCGACATCTACCAGAAGCAGGAGTATGTAGTTCTACTAGCGACACCTGTAGCTGGCGCTTCGACTACGATTCCGGCAGTATTACC